AGAGTGTGTGTGTGTGTGTGTGTGTGTGTGTGTGTGTGTGTGTGTGTGTGTGTGTGTGTGTGTGTGTGTGTGTGTCCTCACTTCCATAGAGGAGCGGCTGAAGCAGCTCCAGGATGCACATAGAGACTTTGGCCCCGGATCCCAGCACTTCCTTTCTAGTAAGCCCCTCTCCTGCTATTTGAAGTTGGTTCCTTATGATGCGCCGCTCTGTGCAAAAGCTCCATCTCAGCGTGTAGGGTGATGAAAAAGAGGGTTAGGTGTATTGCAGTTTGTTACGATAAGTCTATAAACCACTCCATGTGTGTGTATTTGGGTTAGAGGTGGAGCTTGCTGGCTTTGCTCATCTTTCTTCTTCAGTTCCAGCACATCGCTGTGATAAACATCCCTCATCAGATCCGTCATTACTCTCATTTGAGCGGAGATAAATATTTGTTAATTCTGTCTCTTCTTTCACCTGGTGCTCTTCAAAGGCTACAGAGAAGATGCAGGAGGGCGGAAGATGTTGATTTACTCTTCCTAATTGAAGCTGATGTGTGTTGCAGTGCTCTCTGTGTGGGGGCATCTGCAGTGCTGTGTGCTTGTGAGCCTCCTCCTAACCCCTTCCTGTTTCACTGCTGTCACGCTGGCTCACAGGGGCTTACAGTATATAGAGCAACCCAACTGACCCCTCAGCCCACTGAACCCTAAACATCTACAGTCGTCCATATTGTACAAATGGCATCATGCCTATGGGGTTTGTTTTAAACAGATTATTTGTGCCACGGTTCAATGTTCAATAGAACTTGAATTTCTTTTTTTTTTACTTCTATTTTTATTCAATTTTTTGTATTTCTATTTGTAACGCTACCTTTCTACATTTCAAAGGCAATTTAGCATTTTGCAATTTGTGAAATCTACATTTATTTTGTTTGTGTCCTCCGATGTCAAAACTCAACAATAATTAACCCCTGAAAGCAAATCAATAAACCCTGATCAGAGAAAAGACAAGGACATAGTTGAAATTGATGTAGTTTAACTTATAACTGGTTTGCTAACCCATTAAAAGATGAATCTTGTGATCCTTTGGAGGATGCACAACCCCTATAGGGATCAGCTTGACTGAACAACCAAACAATGTTATGAAAGGTTTTTAAACATTTCCATTTGGACTAGCTTCCAATGTTAAATGTTACCTATGCATTGATGCACAAGTATTAACAACTTTAATAATATGATTATATAATGCCAAGAGCTGACATTTCCTCCACAGTGAATACTTTATTTTGATGATACCTGTGCAGGTTCTTTATTTCAAATGTATTGTGTCGGTACTTGAGAGGAGGCACTTACTGTAATGCATTTTTTGCCCCTAGATTTGAGAGTCTACTTCAGTCTCTGTGCGTTGGAGTACTTTTCACTTGTGCAGAACCGCAAGATCTAAATCTGCATTGTGCTGTGTCGTGATAAAATGTACAATGACAAGGTGTGTGTACGGTTGCGTGTAAGCCTGTTTATCAGTGTAGCGGTGCGTATGGTCTGCCTCTTGCTTCTTCAGGTGCAGTCTGTCCTGTCTGATCCTCTGCTGAACCTCACGTGGTTCAGTTTTGTAGGCCGGTTAGATCGCTACAGTCAACCCGTCTCACCGAGTGCTCTGCCTCACGTGTGTTAGGCTGGGCCAAACAAACCGGCCCTCTGTGGAAACCCGACACAATAGACATGTCTCTTTGGCTTTACTGCGCTTGGTGTACTCCAGAGTGGCTCTGTTATGAAGGGCTGAATGGACACACTGTCTGGACACGCTATGAACAATGGATTTTCATGCGAAACATGCCAATTCTGAGATTGATTTGGTTTCTGTGTGTTTGCTCAGGTTCAGTGCAGATACCCTGGGAGCGTGCAATCTCCCCAAACAAAGTGCCCTACTACATCAAGTAAGTGTAACCTCATGGTCAATTTCTTTGTTGTGATAACGTTATTTCTGGATTCAGGTGCTAGTATTTTTGATCTTTATGAGTAATGAACATGTCTGCTGTTTCTCTATTAGGTTTCACACTAAACTCTCCTGAAACAGGCTGTTTGTACGGTTATTCAAAACTACTTTTGTGATTGGATGGTAGTATTTGTATCAGTATTTTCGGGAATAAGAGAAGAAAACTACCAGCCTTGACACAACTTAAATCACATCACTAACTACTAAATCCAACCCAAATCCGAACAGTTCTTGCCTCACAATTTGAAAGATCCTTTCATTTGTGTAGAAATACCACTGGATAGCAAATAAATAGTAAACGATCCAGAGAGGACCCGTGAGCCCTATTTGCTTGAGCACTCATCTGTTAATCTATTTAACTAATCAATACTATTTCACTTTTAAAGTTCTGCTGGTTTTATCAATGAACTATCAATGTGTGTGTGTGTGTTTACGCCTACAGTATGGTGTGTTTGTGTGCAGGTTTTTAACTGTGCAGATTTACAGGAGTTCTTCTGCAAGCTATGGGTATTTATTTTCTTAATCAGGTGCAACAGAATCTCGTGGGTCTTATTTAAGTCTGCTAGTCAATTCTTTATGGGCTATATTACTGTACCAACAGGAGTGGGAGTAGTATCTGAGTAGCACTTCATTGGGTAGCAATCAATGACCACTCACACAGGTAAAACGATGAGTGCTGCCCAAAAAGGCCCCTGGGTCCTGGCAGACATCCTGCTTTTGAGTTTCTGATTTATTCGATGCGTTTGTACTTTCTTATTGGACCTTTCTTTTTTTCTTCATGCACCCAGAGACAGAAGTGGGATGAAAATGTATGTTTTTGCTTTGTATATGCGGGTTTGGATTACATGTACTTTCCCTAAGTGAAGCCACGAAGCAATTTATCTCAGGCAGGGGTTTGGGACTTTGATGCCTTAACTTAAATCATGTTTGACCTTTGTCTTCCCTTTACAGGCCTAAAGTCTCTTGTAACCGCGGTCGTCCTATCCAGTCCTCACATGTTAATGTCTCATCTCCTTTCTTTTACCGTCCGCCTCACCTCTCATCTCTGCTTCCCTCAGCTCATTTGTACTCCAATTGATGTTTCTGGACTGAAATTGAAACCTCCTTTCTAGCCTGCTTCACAAATTATTCCACCTTTTATCCATTTTGTTTCTGTCTTCCCCCAGCCATCAGGCCCAGACAACGTGCTGGGACCATCCAAAGATGACAGAACTCTACCAAGCGCTGGGTGAGTAAGGGCACAATTAAATTACCCTTCAAGTCCCGCTCGTTTGCTCAGGACCCCCACTGAGCTTCGGCAGCAGCAGCACGAATCCACCAGGCTCCCGCTTTGTAGGCCCTGTCACGCAGCTCATTAAAGGCCCTGTGTTTCAAACACCTCAGGGACTACATCTCCACTATCATTAACCTACAAGGACCAATTTTTCTGCACTGTGATTGCCTTTTGCTTAGCCTTTAATTAATTGTGATTAAACGACATCATGTGTTTTACTTTTAATCTGATCTGACACTTCTAAAGGGGATAGAAACGCTGTTGCAAACACATGCTCAGCTAGACACACGCATGTGCACATACACATACACGTCTGCAATGTGTGATAACCAAGAGAAGAGATAGCAACGTCTAATTGGTCGATGGCAGGGTGGGTTTGTTTCCCCTCATCTTCTCATTTACTCTAATCTCGTTCTATCTCTCTCTTTCCCTCCATTAGCGGATATGAACAACATCAAGTTCTCTGCATACAGAACAGCCATGAAGCTGCGGAAAGTTCAGAAGGCTCTGAGATGTACGTAAAGCTTTTTCATCGATGGCATTTCCTGCCTGCAACGCTGGGATGGCTGATTAATTGATATTGTGTTATCCTGCACCATCAGTAATCCTCGAGGACAAGCTCTCTTTGCGAAAGAGATATAACGATTAGCTGTGGCACATTTCTTTATTCAGTTGTCAAAGAGGTCATCGCATCTCCCTACAATCTTTTGAAATGTAGAAATATTCTCCCCAACGCTGGCTTAGAAATGCAGAAATACAATGTATTGATAAACTCAAGAGCCACTAGAAACCACTCAGGCGCCGCATTACTTCAACATTTTCATTACAGCGCGGATCGTTGGTGTGCTAGGTAATTAGAGCTATTAATTGGTCCATTTGACGTACAAATGAGAACGCAATTAATTTTTGCCGCATGGTTAAGGCTTGAAAACGTGCCCCTTCAGGGTCAAAGCACTTGTTGTATTCTACTGGGGCCAGAACCTCTTACTTTCTGCTATAACAATGGCTAATTCTTCCACAACTACTCTTCATGATTATTTGTATTCCTCTATGCCTCACATTCGGTGCTTTTGGTTCCCCTATCCCCACTGAACACTGGCTTCGTCCATCTTTCGCCAGCCCGCAGTGTTCTAAACCCCACTGACACCAGATTAGCTCATATATGCTGCTGCAAGTAGCCAATTTCACACTTTTCCTTCCTCATGTTCAGCCCCTTTCCTTCCCTGCCTTTTCTTGCAACCTTCCTCCAAACCGTCCTCTCCTCCCGTCCCAGAGTTGCTGTAATAAACCCTCAGCATGCTCAGAGTACTGTGAAAAACCTCTTTCAATGACTTTCTCTCTTTTTTTCTCTTGCCCGCTCTCTTATCTCACCCTGCTAGTTGATATCGTTACAGAATTTAATTGCTAGGCCGCCTTGATAACAGCACTCTCTCTCTTCCTCTTTGCACACTTTGTGAATGATTGAGCAGTGCTGCCTAAGAGCCCATCAGAAATACATTTTAGGTGATTCCTCACAACCCAGAGAATACTCCTGTTATCTCCTCTCTCTGTTCTACCTCATTATCGCGCTATCCAATTATACCTGGCATCAACGGACACCCTTTTAGCTCCACTCCTCGGGATGGGCCATCAAATTAGTTTAGGAGAGCAAAATCTAATTTGTGTCACTGCTCTTGAAACATCTGGTCAGGCTTAAGTGGGCAACAAGGGTGAATAAGCACTATGCTATGGCCTGTACTCTCATTTGCTGAGGTGAGGATGATCCTGTGCCTGTGAGTGTTTGTTCGGAGGTGAATGTGCAGCCATCTATGTATGAATGTAGCTGTTTTATCTCCAGCATGAGTAGATTCATGACTGGTTACATGATAAGTTAACTCTTTCTTTAACCATACAAAAAATACCAAATATTCATTCATACACATAACAATTTTTCAATTCAAAAGCATACAGTCCATGCACATGGTCACAAAGTGTTTCTGTCTGTGTTTCTAATATGTCTCTATGTGTGTGTTTTAGTGGATTTGGTGGCGCTGAGCAGCCTCGTGGACGTGTTTCGGGAGCAGGAGCTGCAGCAGGGGGAGCATGTGATGGACGTGGTGGAGATGATCCACGGTCTGACGTCTCTGTACGAGAAGCTGGAGGAGGAGAGGTCCATCCTGGTCAACATTCCTCTTTGCGTCGACATGTGTCTCAACTGGCTGCTCAACGTCTACGACAGGTGGGTAACCTGCGGTGGGATGTCTCCAAGTATATATTGAGAGCTGTGTTGAAAAATGCTTTGAGTATATTCTAACATCACAGCTAACATATGCCCTTCGGTCATCAAGTTAGTTTCTCCGGCAGACATAGAGTAACATGATTATCCTTTTCAAGTCCAATATTAATAAGCACCTAAATACAAAGAAACATGCCTTTACCTTACTTTATTGCATTGCATTTTGGCTTACTCCTGATTCACCCTGAATAGGTGGCTCTGACCATAGAGTTTATATGACCGCTGAAAAATGTGAATTATGTGGAAAATCGTAAAGCAGTCGTTCAAGATAATTATACTACTCTTGTTTTAGTAGTTAATCATCAAGCTTTTTCTGTTGCTACTCTCAGGCCAAGCTAAAGCCTCCACTTAGCCCCTCGACTTTTGTCAAGTCCCCTTTTAACATTTTCGTAATGTCCTGCTTTTTGAATCTGTTGTTGGTTTACTTGGTTTCTCCTCACCTCCTATTTGGTTTGATCTCTCTATTTATGCTTGTTGTGTTACATTATGTATTATTGCCTTTTATACACCTATTATATCATTTATTATGTATGCCTGTATCGAGGCAGATCCTATCCCACCTGCCTCGACTGGGTCAACTCCTGTTGTTTTTAAATGTGCTATATAAACATAAACAAATGGACTTGGCTCTCGTATCGTAGTACATTAAAGTAAGCTGAGACAATTTGACACACCAAAGTCTGTTTGAAGGTCTTTGGCTGAAGGCCTTCCACTTCAAAGGTGAACAAAGTAGCATAAAGCCTTTTATAAGTCCAGAGGGATAAATTGCTCCGAGTGTGTCAGCGTCAGTGGGGGTCGAAGACTTCAAGTTTCAAGTGGAGTCAGGAAGAGATGAGCCCACCAGACCTCTGTAGACCGCTCCTCTTCCTCACTGCTTGAGGCGTGCAGCAACACCAGCCGCTGCCAGAATAACACAACCAGCCTCTCCAACCAAGCTGTTGGCAGTCAAGTTGCATTGTGGGTAATGCGCCAAGCTTTCACAAGAGAGAAGATTGTATGGAATAAAGAGGTGATTCTGGTTGTGCTGCATTGCTTTCGACCCTTTGTCTTTATTGTCCATGGTGCAGCAAGAATGTTATGCAGTGCGATGTTATATCAGACCAGCCCTCTCAATGGCACACTCTTTCATGCAATCCTCATAAAGTTTTATGAAAGCAACATATATTTTTTACCAGTCCAATGTAGTACTGTATATATAACAAAGGTTCAACCATAGGCATACTAATATACTGCATACACCAGTATCCTTGCAATATGAAGAAGAAGACGTACTTTATTGAACCCTAAGGGGAATTTCAATTGTTCCACTCTATTGTTATTTTACACGTAACACACAGGCTCAATATACAGTAGACGTTGATGCACAAATAGGACTTTTACACAAGCAGTGCCAGGGGGCTGCCTTTGGACAGGCGCCTTGGGCAGTTAAGAGCTTCGTGCTTTGCTAAAGTGAACCTTGCAATGCCCAGAAACTCTCTCTTCTCCAGCTACCCGTCCATTTTCCGTACTTTCTCTTTGCAGGGACCTGCTTTCCACTACCCCCTATATCTAACATGTATATTTATATTTACTCTATTGCATGAAATGGATGTGATCTCTTTTGTCACTAACATTGCAAATCTGGACTGTGTAATGTTCTCTGGTTAATTCTTTCTCACTGTCTGATTTGATGCATAATGAGAATACAACTCTCCAGGGTGGTTTTACATGTGTGTGTGTGTGTGTGTGTGTGTGTGTGTGTGTGTGTGTGTGTGTGTGTGTGTGTGTGTGTGTGTGTGTGTGTGTGTGTGTGTGTGTGTGTGTGTGTGTGTGTCACTTGCCATCCATGACAGTGATAGATAGTCCTGAATGATGGTGCAGTATCAAGTCTGCTGTAATACTTTAGCACTGCTAGGACCCTTTCACAATACACCAGGTCATATGAGTCAATGGTAATAGAAAAACTAATGGAGATCTGAGTCTCACTTTGCCCCCCACAAACAGTTTACAAACTATTCTCAACTGTGTCTTACAGTCCTCTCCCAGGACTGTCTGTCTGCAGATTGATGTAAGTGGTTCAATGGCTTGTTGTACAGACATCTATAAAGGGCCACAGTGTGGCTACAGCTCTGATAACAATGTCCAGGCACAGGGCCAATCATCCCTTCTGAGACACCGTATAAACAAATCCTCTTTCACACCAAGTTTCACCCCCATCTTTGCTCCTGATTGACTATGTTGTGCTGTCTCCAAAGAGAAAACAGGGAGCACAGAGGCAGAGATACAGTGATAACCCCAGGAGTGCTGTGAATTCAGTCGGTAGCTCTTAACTACTCGCTGCTAATGAGAGACAATCAGAGGCTTAACCTTCTGCATACATTTCAGTAATTGCTTTTTGTATTCCAATAAATAGCGACTGTGAATCTGAATTAGATGTGCCTATGTTTATGTTGGCATTTTTAATGGTGTGCTTAAATTGCTGTATATTAAAGCTCAGTTTGTGCGTATATCATTGGATTTGTGTGTGTCCTCCAAAGGCGCGTCACACTAGCAGGGCGAGCAGGAGTGACATGTCCCCGGAGGAGCAGCGCTGGGGTGAATATGGAAGATGGCATTGCGACACCCACAGTCGCCCCCATGTGCTCCTCTCGACCCCCTCGGATCCTCATCTAACAGAGAAAAAGACAGTGTTGCCCGCTCTTTCTCGTCTAAGGCTTCTCCATGTGACTTTATTAACTAGCCGCCCTGTTTTATTGTTGAACACATTCAAAGCAACACCCTAGCTCTGGAAATGTAACTCACTCTTTGATTCAATTTTCTACTTCATTGATCTGGTGTTCTCTGATGAATGTGATGTTCTTGAGTTCTCACTTAGCGATTCAAATGTAAATTCGATAAGCCTGTGGTTTATGCCAATGCTGCTCAGCTCTGCAGTAATTTCTTCCAGGCTGTGTTGGCACCAGAGCTGTGAAATCTTAACACGAAATACGGTGTGTTTGTATTTCAAGCAGAATCAAAGCTAATGAAGCCCTTTCAGGCTCAGGTCAGGGCACAACAGCGTGGATCTCACCGGCCTTGCCATAGGCCAGTGCCCAAACCTTTTTCCAGCTTGGGCAGCAGCTCAGATCCTCACAAGTGCTCGATATGTGTATTTAATTGGGTGGTTATGCAGTATCCATGTGGGTATTTGTCTGCAAGTGACATTGTGAGCTTATTATAGTTCCTCTACACATGAGCCCATGGACACAACACTTCATAATGTCCCTGTCATGCCATTAGGTACTCTGGATGTGCTCTAATGTCATTTGACAGTGTCGCGCTGACCTGTACTGTATCGCTGTGACCCACGTAATTCCTCCCCACTTTGAATTCATTCACTATAAAAATTGTAACCTTAAAATACATTTCTTCTGCTTTTTTCTCTTTCCACTAGTGCTCGTAATGGCAAAATGCGTGCTCTCAGCTTCAAGATGGGATTGGTGAGCTTGTGCAATGCAGACGTCCAAGAGAAGTATAAATGTGGGTCTGATGCTCGCTGATGTGCCTAATGCATCTCCTCAACTGCAAACAATGAGCCAAAACAAAACGGCCCTGATTGCCAGCCTTACATAAAGGCATCCACTTAGTCTAATGGAGGAAATGAGTCTCCTGCCTTAATGGAGAAAGCTTTCTTTACTTCTACAAAGTACATGGGGGGGGGGGGGATTAAAAAAGATTGCTTGCCAGAGACAGAATTCATGCACACTCTCTTTCTATGGCTCATTCAACTAGCAAAGAGCTCCCTTTATTTTTGGTTGTATGAGATATTTTAACTGTTCTATTTTAAACCCAGTTTACAAGTCATCGTGTGAATATAGGTGAGAATGAAATGAGAGCATTTGAACTGATTTGAACTTTGTAGTTGATACAAGATCAGAGACATAACTGCCAAACCCACGCCCGGATTATTCATGCCTGGCGTGCCATCTGTGTCAGCTCTTAAAGGCTGAGAGATAACAGATTTGCCTTCAGTTGAACGGTCCCTGAGGTGAGTCAGCAATCTTTTTCTGGAATTCGATAGACATGTGGTGGCGTTAACGGTTCGTCATTTCGCTGACTGATCCTTTTTTTATCAGACGTCACTGGAATAACACTGGAATAATATTGTGCAAATGCATCTGAAGCATTTATATGAACCCACTTTGAGGTACAGATGGTGGGTGTTAATTCCATCATCAAAAGTCTTTGGCTTCATATTTTTAAAAGTACTCGATGATACCATGATATCATTTTTGGACACAACATTTTTAATTTGATGAGCTTTTACTGAACATTTGCCACCACACAAGCATATTATTGCAGACATCAATATGTTCTGCTTTCACACCCAGTTTCACTTTTGACTTTAGTTTTCTCAATAAAAAAACACATGGCAGTTGATTAAAATATTTTCCAGCCCTCCAATTATATCCACCAAATTAATTTGAAGATATTTAAAGTGTTAACTGGATTCGCACCATTTGTTTTCTATTACAACGTTTTCGATTGATTTGCCATTTTTTCATTTATCCAATACTGGGTTCATTATAGTAGTTTGTTTAATTAGGGTGTTCATTTCAGTAAGTGATGGCATGTGATGAACTAAAGGCTTTATACCCTAAACTGTGGGTGTCAGACTCCAATTATTAAATAGAAAAGAAAGGGTGACTTGTGTTCATACTAGTTATCACTGAAAACATATTGAAGCCATCCCAAACAAACTTAGTAATGGATGTTCTGAGAGTGAGTAGCTTGTGTGGCTAACTATGAATTCCATTATCTCCCTGCAGGATTTGCAACATTGCAGGCTGCATGTTTCCGATGTAATAGGCCTATATAACGTGTTAGTGTCTCCATAAAAGATGTCCAAAACTAATCTCTATCAAACAGCTCAATGTGAACATTTAAAATGTCAAACAGGCCTCATGAGCTCTGGTTATGGGAGCTCTATAAAGGAGGCTGTTTAACATTCAGGTGTTAAAGTCAAGTGTTGTCCCTGTAGGGTTGAGTAAGTACACAGAGAGGGGAATACATGGGATGCTTATACTGGCATTGTGCAGCAGCCTCACACGCCTGTCAGCATTCATCTCTTCAGTGACAGGCGCAGTCCCAGCAAGCCCGGTAAAGGCCTCATCCAAAACCTGACAAGACTCCACTTATGCAGCTCTTTCATCTCCCGGAAGACCAGCCAGGCCACTAATATATATATAATACTGAGTCTGTCTCAGTGTATAAGTCACTGAAGTGAATTTTATTTCACATAAATAGGTTTGGTAAACTCCATTGCCTGGGATTGGTGACTCATTTAAAAGAATAAATAAATAAAAATTGCATTTGTTGCTGTGTTTGACCAACTTGGCAAACTTTTCAAATTGTGGACGCCTGCCTAAAATAAAAATAAAAACTGAAAACATGTAACGCAGCAACACAAATGCCTTATAGTATCAGGTGTAAATGCGTAGAGGAGATGTATGCAGATGCTATGATAATGCAAACAACTGATTTTCATGCATACAAAATGTGGTGCACAGTAATGCAGGTGCTACATTCCTCTGTGTATGTTCTGGTGGTTGCAGATTTATTCCGTCAGGTGTCTGGTGCAGGAGGTTTGACCGACCAGCGTCACCTCAGCCTGCTGCTCCATGAAGCCATCCAGATCCCCCGACAGTTGGGGGAAGTCGCTGCTTTCGGGGGCAGCAACGTGGAGCCCAGCGTCCGCAGCTGCTTCCGCGTGGTGAGGACCGAGTTACCACAACGCATAAACACAATCACAGATACTAAACACATTATATGGACTAAGGTCAGATGAAATTATCTGTCTGGTATTTGTTGTGAGTTCACCCTTGATCAGGTAAAAAGAGTTCGAGCGTTGAGCATATTTTAAGATTTACCAACATGGACTTTAGTTGCCCAACACAAGCAAGAGAGACACTGACCACCACCTGAGAGTGTTGTAAGTCTTGATTGTGCTAATTTCCGGACTTTAATCAATGGCTTGATTGTCGCAACAAGATATTTGGATTCAACCTTCAAATCCCCTTTTTCATTACAGTAGACTGGTGTCTCAAACCCCTAATCTAATAATTACTGTGGAGGAAAAGTGTCCTCGGGATAATCAGAACAGAACTTGTCTGTGCCAAGAAAAATACAGAAACAGAATTCTAAAGGCAGAAACGTCTCCATTAAAAAATGTAACATTTGCCTTTGGATGGTTTTCCATCTAAAGCCAAGTATGAAAGAATGATGATGTTTGCCATCTGAAGACAATTGTGTTTTATTGACATTGGCAGAGTTTATTATTACTTTACATGAAGAAGCCCCAACTGCACCACATGGAGTCTTGCTTCACAATGTAACATCACATTAATATTGCATTGTATTGCTTTCTGATGTAGCCTACATGAAATGCAGTCCGTGGTAGATAATGCATAATGTTTTTAACCATGACCTAACCCCTAATCTGTGGATCATAAATGATATATTAGAATGATAGAAGCAAGGCCAAAGGGTCAAGTAGTACATAGAGCAATAGCTAGAGGAAAAATGAATTCATTTGTTTCGCCCAACTTTGCTTGTTCTGAATGCTTCTGAAGTTGTACGTTTAGCATGGGTTGTAGTGCATGCAACTTTCAATTTGGGACACCAGATAAGTGAGGAGTCGTTAAGAGCATGCCACAGCTTTTTTGGAAGGTGGCTTAGGCCAAGCTTTTTAATTCCCTCATTTCCGAGGCAGATGCTAATTACATACACTCTTCTCTGGCCCACGCTTGTTATATCTGCTAAAGCTAATTAAAATCAATTCCTTTCTCCATTTGCTCCATGTCAGGGTGTTTAGTTGTCGACAAAATATCCATGTAGTGCAATTTGGGAGTTGACCCATATTCCCACAAATGTCTTTGTTTGAAAATGGGTCACATCAGTTTGGAGATGTATTGCTAAATTATCTTCTATGCGTTAATATGAACTGACTTGGGACTGAGAATATTCAGAATTACGCAGTTATACAGAACAAATATGGTTGTTTGTGGAAAAATTATTGGGTGAGAAGTGTTTCTATGTGGATTCTTGTTCCACACACACACAGATTATTAAATGTATGAGACTGAAAGCATAGAGTTTTGAAGAATAATTGCATATTTATCAGTATATTTTTCCATGATGTTTAAATCGTTCAAAACTCTTGAACATAGTCAGTCACTTCCAGGTGTTGGGTATGCGAGGATCTGCTATTTGACCTCACACATGGAGCTGGCTACTTTACTACTAGAGAGGAGCTCCTGCATCCCCCGGAGACTCTATACCTCGTTACACCTCACAGTCTGTGTGATCAGTGCACACACACACACACACACACACACACACACACACACACACACACACACACACACACACACACACACACACACACACACACACACACACACACACACACATTTATTATGCTACTCTGCTTGAGCGCTGGAGGAAGCCTCTGGGAAATCAACCTCTTAATGCATCTCTGATGCAGACTTAATGAGAATTTAGCACATCACGGATTTTCAGCGCTTGGCGAGTCATTTTTTTATTAGGTTTATTCCCTTTTTATCCCACGTTATCAGCAAGGTGTCTGAGGGAGAGGCAGGCTGTATGCTGACACCCATACACACACATACAGTATACTCACAGAGTTATGTCTGCTTTGTTTTAGCTTTTTAATTGTTTAAGTAGTTAAAAATATCACAATATATCCCACAGTGTGTCCTATTCACCCTCCCCTTCTCCCTCTTATCTTTTGTATTCTCTTTGATTTCCTAGCTCACTGGTGGACCACCTTTTGAGAGGAAGCACACCTTTTCCTGTCATTACTTTGTGTACCTACCCTGCTGTTGGTCTATATTTGGATTGTTTACAGTCTCCTGCACTTCTTCCCTCCCTCTTTCCCTATCTTCTTTATTTTCCAGGCCCCTGGGAAACCTGCCATCGAGGTGTCTCACTTCCTGGAGTGGATGAGCCTGGAGCCCCAGTCGATGGTTTGGCTGCCTGTCCTCCACCGTGTGGCCGCTGCAGAATCCACCAAGCACCAGGCCAAATGCTACGTCTGCAAACAGTGTCCCATCAAAGGCTTCAGGTAGGCATTACTTACCATGATCAGAGTGCATCACACACACAAAGAAAAATGATATACTGTATATGTTTAGGAGAAACATTTGCAATTACACAACCCAAACAAATGTATTAGGTAGGCTACATTTGTACGGATCGTGTGTACAATAAAGGTCTACTCTCTGTAACTTCAAACAAAGGATATGTTATACATGGGTCTTCAACAGGAAGTCTTAAGACTGCATAAGAAAGGGGGTGGAGTAGCTGTTTTGTTTAATGATTTATTTCAATGCAAGCAGACTATGTATGGAAACTTTGCTTCTTTTGAATATGTGGCCCTTCAGCTGAAATGCTCCTCTCAAGCTCTTTTCCTAAACATCTACAGACCACCCAAATACTGTGCAAGCTTTGTTGATGATTTTACCGAGTTACTGTCTATAGTGCGTATTGACTTTGACCGTCTAGTCATTGTTGGTGATTTTAATATCCATGTTGACAATCCCCAGGACAGAGGGGCTAAAGAACTGTTTTGTGTTATCGACAATTTTGGACTGACTCAGCATGTCAAGGGTCCGACGCACAATAAGGGGCACACTCTGGACTTAATTGTATCAAAGGGTCTGAACATCTCTAAGCTTGTGGTGACTGATGTAGCGCTCTCCGACCATTCCTGTGTTTTCTTTGAGAGCTCTATTTCCGTCCATACAACTGTTAAGAAAGAGGTAACCGCTAGACGTCACTTAACTGAAAATGCAGAGGAAATGTTTGCACAGATGTTTACTCCCTCACTTGCCCATGCTAACTTCTCAGTAAATGAGCTACTGTAGTTGATCATTTTAATTCTAAAATAACAAATGTCATGGATACCATTGCTCCCATTAAAACAAAGGAAGTATCGAGCAAGAAAATATCTTCATGGAGAAAAGCCATGACTGTGAGAACAGCAAAAACTGAGTGCAGAAAAGCTGAACGCAGGTTGAGAAAAACAAATCTCCAAGTTTACTTTGAAATATATAAATAATAATAATAATACATTACATTTATAAAGCGCTTTTCCTGGTGCTCAAAGCGCTTAAAAGAGAGACTCTGCGTCTATAATCAGGAACAGTGGCGAG